GACTGAACCAGGACTTGGAGCCGCAGACCTGCTGCAGAATGGATTTTGGACCAAACGGATTTAAGTGACGTGTTTTTGTGGAGATAATTTTTCAACAGAAAAAGAAAAAAAACATTGAGCCATGTTTGAGGCAGAAAGGTGAGAACTAAACCAGGACTAAACCAGGACTAAACCAGGACTAAACCAGGACTAAACCAGAACTAAACCAGGACTAAACCAGAACTAAACCAGAACTAAACCAGGACTAAACCAGGACTAAACCAGGACTAACCAGGACTAAAGGACTAAACAGACTAAACAGAACTAAAAAGACTAAACAGGACTAAACAGAACTAAACCAGGACTAAACCAGGACTAAACCAGGACTAAACAGGACTGAACCAGGACTGAAACCAGGACTAAAGACTAAACCAGAACTAAACCTAAAACAGGACTAAACCAGACTAAACCAGGACTAAACCAGGACTAAACAGGACTAAACCAGGACTGAAGGACTAAACCAGGACTAAACCAGAACTAAAACAGGACTAAAACAGGACTAAACCAGGACTAAACCAGAACTAAACCAGAACTAAACCAGGACTAAACCAGGACTAAACCAGGACTAAACCAGGACTGAACCAGGACTAAACCAGGACTAAACCAGAACTAAAACAGGACTAAAACAGGACTAAACCAGGTCTAAACCAGAACTAACCAGGACTAAACCTAAACCAGGAACTAAACCAGACTAAACAGGACTAAACAGGACTAAACCAGGACTAAACCAGAACTAAACCAGGACTAAAAGGACTAAACAGGACTAAAACCAGGACTAAACCAGGACTAAACCAGGACTAAACCAGGACTAAACCAGGACTAAACCAGGACTAAACCAGGACTAAACCAGGACTAAACCAGGACTAAACCAGGACTAAACCAGGACTAAACCAGGACTAAACCAGGACTGAATCAGGACTAAACCAGAGACTGAATCAGGACTAAACCAGGACTAAACTGGGTCTAAAGTATGACTAAAGCTCCATAACTAACCCAGGCTAAAAAAAAAAGTCTACACCAGATCTAAACCCGGACTGAAACAGAATTAAACCAGGTCTTAACCCAGACTAAAGCAGGTCTCAGACTTTATTGTTTTATTCTCAGAGTTTATAATCATATTTCATCATTATTTTAGTCTTAAAGTCTTTTATTTACACTTTTATTTACACTTTTATTTACACTTTTATTTTCTGGACCTTTGTGTTTTTTCAGTTTCACTTGTTTTTATTTCACAAAATCCTTTCAAAACTTTGACTCAGTGTGAGGAGTAACGCCTCTCCACAGATCTGACCTGTAACCTGGGCTGTTTGACTCAGTGTGAGGAGTAACGCCTCTCCACAGATCTGACCTGTAACCTGGGCTGTTTGACTCAGTGTGAGGAGTAACGCCTCTCCACAGATCTGACCTGTAACCTGGGCTGTTTGACTCAGTGTGAGGAGTAACGCCTCTCCACAGATCTGACCTGTAACCTGGGCTGTTTGTCTCCGTCTGTTCAGGGTCAAACTGTGACACACTGAGGCCAAAACAGAAACAGTTTCAGGGAAATAAACTGGAAAAGTGACACAGTTTGTCTTTAATCTCGTCCTGCGTTTGTCCCACTGTTGTCGTCATGAACGTCACAAACCAGGACTAAACCAGGACTAAACCAGGACTAAACCAGGACTAAACCAGGACTAAAACAGGACTAAAACAGGACTAAACCAGGACTAAACCAGGACTAAACAGGACTAAACAGGACTAAACAGGACTAAACCAGGACTAAACAAAAGGACTAAACTAAGGACTAAAGGACTAAAACAGGACTAAACCAGGACTAAACAGGACTAAAACAGGACTAAAACAGACTAAACAGGACTAGGACTAAACCAGGACTAAACAGGACTAAACTAAACCAGGACTAAACCAGGACTAAACCAGGACTAAACCAGGACTAAAAGACTAAACAGGACTAAACCAGGACTAAACAGGACTAAACTAAACAGGACTAAAGGACTAAACCAGGACTAAACTAAACAGGACTAAACCAGGACTAAACCAGGACTAAACCAGGACTAAACAACAAACAGGACTAAACGGACTAAACTAAACCAGGAAACCAGGACTAAACCAGGACTAGTAAACCAGTAAACTCCAGGACTAAACCAGGACTAAACCAGGACTAAACAGACTAACCAGGACTAAAACAGGACTAAACCAGGACTAACTAAGGTCAAAAAACAGACTAAACCTTTTTAAACTTGGACTAAACCAGGTCTAAACCAGGACTAAACCAGGAGTAAAACAGGACTAACGGACAGGACTAAACCAGGACTAAACCAGGTCTAAACCAGGACTAACCAGGACTAAACAGGACTAACCAGGATTAAACCAGGACTAAACAGGACTAAACAGACTATACACTTTTAAACGGACTAAACCAGGTCTAAACCAGAATAAAACAGACTAAACCAGGACTAAACCAGGACTAAACCAGGACTCGACCAGGACTAAACCAGGACTAAACCAGGACTCGACCAGGACTAAAATATGTCTAAACCCTGATGAATGGACCTCACAGTTCCCACACATTTCAGATGAGATATTTTTAGATTTTCAGATTTTTTCCCTCTTTCTTTCTCTCCTCCCTCCTTCTTTCTCTCTCTTTCTCTTTCTTTCTCGTAGTAAAGTTTGTTCGGGTGATGAATGAGTTTCTCTTCCTGTTTAAAACTCTCGCTCAGATCCGCTGGAGCTCGGAGCGTTTCAGAGATTATTTTATGAACCACTGAGAGAAAGACCGAGATTTAAAGCTGCACTGTGTCACTTTCTGGTTGGGGCTCGGTCACCTGCTGGTTTCTATGGATACGGGAGGTCGCGGGGGGGGGACGGTCCGGCGCCTCAGGAGGAGTTTCCAGTGCGAGGGGAGAACTGTGAGGATCTCATCAGTCCCTGAAGTCACCGCGGTTTTTAAAAATCCACGTGTCGTTCGTTCATTCATCTGTTTTTCAAAATAAAACCAAAAATAAGAAAATGAAAAATCAACAGTTTTCTTCATGATTTGTCTCCAAAACCAAAATGAAAAAACAGATAATGATTCCTTTTTTTTTTTCAGTTTTTGATTTTGTGTTTAAAGGTTGTATGGAGGATTTTTTTTTTAGTTTCAAATTGTCAATGAAAGTTTAAAATACCATTACAGAGACGCAGCAGCTTTGTAATTATGACGACCAGAAAAAAAAAAGAATGAAAATCCATCAACTGTGGACGTGTTGAGGCCAGATAAACATCAGCCAATAGAAAACGAGGCTCCCTCTTTTTCTATTGGCTGTTAGGTCGTCAATCAAACTCCCTACGTTTCTAGCGTAACTGACTCGTTGTCGCGCAGGGATTTCGTGGTTCTTCGAGGCTTTTTCAAACTGTAGCTTCATCGCAATTCGCACAGAGTTTGTCGCGACGGCGGACGAGAATCCACGACCGGTTCGCCGCCAAAGAAAGTCAGTTTTTTGAGGTCGCTGAAAGAAGAAGAGAAGGAGAAAAGGAGCGAAGACAAACTGAGGTGATTCTTGTAGATTCCTTCCAGCGATGGCGCGACTGAAGCAGACGAAGGGTCTAAAGACTGAAGACGCGTCGGTCGCTAAATTATTTCTAGACAGGAAACTTCAACGGTAATTCTGAACTGGCTGTAAACAAACGTGATTTCTAGAGTAAAGAGACGGGACGAGATGTTTCTACTGAGGCTGTGGAGGAGGAAGGTGGTGTCACACATGCACAACGTTTGAAAAATTATTTTTCTTCCCTTAAAATATCCTCTATACAACCTTTAAATGAAAAATGGAAAAAACGGATAACGACTGTTTCCTGTTTACGTGACCTCAGTGACTGCGATGCCGGACTGAACCAGGACTGATCCAGGTCCGGGACCAGACTGGGACCAGAGCGAGACTCCGAGCTTTGACTTCAAGCTTTAAAGGGATAGTCTGGGATTTTTGACATAAATCTGTGTCGTCCCCGTGAGCAGCGTCGTGCTTCAACACTGACTCACCCCGACAGCGTCCGGTGAACCCAGACACTGGCCGTTTTCGATGCTGGCGAAAGTCGTCCGGCGAGTTGTTCTGGGGACTGTGTAATAAAGTGTTTTTCTTCTCAAAACGATCTGTGTTCAAAAGAGTGAAACATTTGCAGCACAAAACCATCGTCGCCTAAAAAGTCACACCTGATTATCACTTGGTACTATTTTCCCTCCGTTTGTATCACTGCGCCGCCGCCAGGTGAAAGCCGCGCCCAGATCCAGTGCAGCGTGACACTGACAGGTGGACAGGTGCAGCGTGAGACTGACAGGTGGACAGGTGCGGCGTGAGACTGACAGGTGGACAGGTGCGGCGTGAGACTGACAGGTGGACAGGTGCAGCGTGAGACTGACAGGTGGACAGGTGCGGCGTGGACTGCAGGTGACAGTGGACAGGTGACAGGTGGACAGGACAGGTGGACAGGTGGACAGGTGACAGGTGGACAGGTGCAGCGTGGGCAGATTGACAGGTGGACAGGTGCAGTATGGGCAGATTGACAGGTGGACAGGTGCGGCGTGAGACTGACAGGTGGACAGGTGCGGCGTGACAGGTGGACAGGTGAAGATTGACAGGTGGACAGGTGCAGCGTGAGATTGACAGGTGGACAGGTGCAGCGTGGGCAGATTGACAGGTGGACAGGTGCAGCAGTGGGTGCAGTGTGAGATTGACAGGTGCACAGGTGCAGCGTGGGCAGATTGACAGGTGGACAGGTGCAGCGTGGCAGATTGACAGGTGGACAGGTGCAGTGTGGGCAGATTGACAGGTGGACAGGTGCAGCATGAGATTGACAGGTGGACAGGTGCAGCATGGGCAGATTGACAGGTGGACAGGTGCAGCGTGGGCAGTGATGTGGTCTCTGTATCGGTCGTTGTGGTGAAGAGGAGCTGAGTCTCTGTTCCTCCCCTCACCTCTGGTCATGACCCGAAGGACCAGATCCACGACACAAACGACACAGATGAGTTTCTTCCGCTGGGCGTCCGGGCGTCTCCCTTAGAGACAGAGTGAGGAGCTCGGAGTAGAGCCGCTGCTCCTCCACGTGGAGAGGAGCGTCTGAGGGGAGGACGTCTGTTCTGACGTCTCCTGGACGTGTCCCTCAGGAGGTGTTCATGTCCCAGCAGGAGGAGGAGGAGACCCAGGACACACTGGAGGGACTAAGGCTGTGTTCACTCTGCACCTGAAGTGACCCAAATCTGATGTTTTTGTCTCTATGTTCCTGTTTCTGATCTTTTAATGACGTCTGAACCACACAGATCCAGATATGTGGATATATGGATCTGTGCTCCTGAAACTGATCCATATCTGATCTTTAACATGTGACTTGAGTGTGAACAGTCAGGTCACATTCATCCACCTACACGTCATCAACAAGACACAAACGTCACTATTCTGCACTGAAGTAGGAGAAAACTGTTCATGATCCATGTGACTGAAGTGAAGCACATCTCCACTCACCACAAAACACCACCACCAAAAACCTGCTCCTTCTCCTTCTCAATCTCCTCCTTAAAACAAGTCAGTTGTTCATGTTGTGGCTCCGGTACGAGAGGAACTTTAAAATCTCCAGGTGCTCGATGCTGCGTCCATGTTTGGACAACTTGTGTAAACACAGAGACGCTCGCTGCGGTTGACGTCGTCGTGTCTCCAGTGTCACATGTGGGACACTTTTGGACCGTTTAATGTTCACACTGGAGTCACATACAAGTCACATTTAACTGGAAATGTGAACGACCTCGAAAAAACATCGGATTTCACCAAAAAATCGGAATTGAGCGTTAAACCCTGCAGTCTGAACGTAGACTATGTCTCTGGACTGGCCTGGGAACACCTCAGGTCCCACTGGAGGAAGTGTCTGGGGTGAAGGAAGTCTGGGAGTCCCTGTTCAGACTGATGCCCCCGAGACCCCAGAGAAGAAGAAGAACATGGACGGATGTTTTCAAAATATTCACTGAAGCTAAAGCTGTGAAGGTGTAAAAATATAACAATATATTTTTGAAGAATGGGAATTACGTTTCTATGGGGCATTTTTTTGACGCTCTCCCTTTGCTCTCAGTGCTAAGTCATTCCCCCTGCAGAGCTACAGAGCCTCATACTCATTCCAAAGGCGGGAGAAAGTTAAATAAAGTGTGTTTTGTGTTTTGTCGTGTTTAAAGTGTGTTTTATTTTGTTGTGTGTTTTTTTTTTGTGTTGCAGTTACCTGACGGACGGGGGGCTGGGTCTGTACACGCGGCGTCTGCACCGGCTCCACGACCTCTCCAGCATGAGCGCCGTGAGGGAGACGCTGCACCACAACCCGACCGGAGACGCCGACAGGTACGAAACGACCACGACGAGAAAGACGAACGAGAGGAAAAGGACTCACCGCAAACACATTTACCAATCATTTACTCATCAATTTTACATAAAAACCTGGCGTCAGTGTAATTTTTGAAAGGTTAAATGTGAGTAATTGTTTCTGTGGAGATCTGATCCTGGATCTGATCCTGGATCTGATCCTGGATCTGATCCTGGATCTGATCCTGGATCTGTCATCGAGAGTTTCCTCATAAAACTTTCTGTTCAAACTTGTTCAAATCGAAAATCACGTTTAAATGTTTATGAAGAAACAATGAGTCAAATGTGAATCAGACCAGGACTAAACCAGGACTAAACCAGGACTAAACCAGGTCTAAACCAGGACTAAACCAGGACTGAACCAGGACTAAACCAGGTCTAAACCAGGACTAAACCAGGACTAAACCAGGACTAGACCAGAACTAATCCAGGTCTAAACCAGGACTGAACCAGGACTAAACCAGGACTAAACCAGGACTGAAACCAGGACTAAACCAGGTCTAAACCAGGACTAAACCAGGACTAAACCAGGTCTAAACCAGGACTAAACCAGGACTAAACCAGGACTAGACCAGAACTAATCCAGGTCTAAACCAGAACTACACCAGGACTAGACCAGGACTAAACCAGGACTGAACCAGGACTGAACCAGGACTAAACCAGGACTAAACCAGGATTAAACCAGAACTAAACCAGGACTGAACCAGTTCTAAACCAGGACTAAACCAGGATTATAACAGGACTAAACCGGGACTAGACCAGGACTAGACCAGGACTAAACCAGGACTAAACCAGGACTAAACCAGGAGTAATTCACATGTTTCTTTAGTCCAGCTTTTCTTTGTTTTGATCTTAACACAGACTGCTTCCCTCCTCAGCGCAGACGCAGGGTCTTAGTCTCCGGTCTTGGTCTCAGGTCTTGGTCTTTGGTCTCAGGTCTTGGTCTTTGGTCTCAGGTCTTGGTCTCTGGTCTTGATCTTTGGTCTTTGTCTTTGGTCTTGGTCTCTGGTCTCGGTAGATCAAATATTCTATCAAATCAACTCTGATGAGTGTTTTTTTTATCTCCAGGTCAAAGCTCCACACTCCCTTT